AGGGGGTGGCTGGTATCTTGGGTTTGCAAAATCAATGGGACATGCCCCCAAAAAGTGGCAATTTGAGAACTGGAACTTTATTGAAAACTGTTACACCAGAAATACTAGCAGTGCCACAAAGTAAAAATTATGAAGAGGTACCTGTCCAGAGTGTTTGCTTTTATTTCTTCCATAACGATGTTCACGATTTTTTATTTTCTTTTTCATTCAAGTTGTTTATTTACATTTCATTTTGAAAACATTAGTTCTTCATACTCATATTTACATCTTGTCTACTGACTGGAGAGCCTATTTTGTATTTTATGTCATTAATGTATGCTCAGAGATTTGTTGAAGCTCATTTTGTTAACAGCCGGAGAACTTGCTTCTTTGTTTCATATTGTTAAGTTTAGAGAGTTCTATTATGCTATATTTTCTTTCTATTTAAGACATAACATCCCTTCCAAATATAACCTTGAACATTCTTAAAGAAAAATCACTTTCAAAAATAAGTGAACATTATCATTCTGTCAACTCTTCAACTTTTCCATTCATGGCATGAATTTTTCCCTTGAACATGTCCAGCCATCTTTTGTAGACACAAAGTCAGGTGACCAAGCTTGCTCAGGACTGTACTGAAAGAATATCAGCCCAGGATATCATTATATGTACAGACCTTGCAATGCTTCACCTGTGGACAATGCATTAGTTTAGCTTTGAACTGCAATCTAGCTTAGACATGCTTCTCAATAGACAAAATGAATCTTATGTAGAATGGTTAAAAATCCCTGCCTGTGTGGAGGTAGTCACAACCAATGTGCTATACACAAGGAGTGACCAAGATATTGAACTCAGGAATACCAAGGGCAAATCCACCTAGTGGCAGAAAGGAGAGCTTGAATCCAACCAGTGGCTGGTCAAGGGCAGGGCCTCATGACCCAAGGGGGAGCCTGGCTGCCAAAATACTCAAGGGCCTGGGCTCAACACTAACTTTTCAACTTACTAGCCAAGTGGCTAGTGACTACTTAGATGTTACTAGCCAAAAACATTTTTTTTACTAGCCAAGCGTGAGGTTGGCTACCTTATTACATAAAATTTTTGCGACACGTTTATTTCGCGATTCGGGGGTGCACATAATTTTGCAACACTTAAATTCGCCATTTTGCAAAAATTTGTATTTTGAATCACTTTAACTTTGCATTTTTGAGTAACACAAAATTTGTTTCCCTGGCAATGTTACTTAAACATGTCTTTGAATTTAGTAAACTGACTTTATCAAAGGTACAATAATGTCAAAAGTACCAAAAACACAATGGCAGGACTATATGTCAACAGTAACATAATGTTTTATGTTCCCAACACTTACTTATTTGCGTCACTTTAATTTTTTTTAAATTGCAAAATTTGCAAAATTAACATGNTTCCACCTCCCATTTCCCCTCGGGTGGCCACTTAATGGGGGTTGGACTGTATGTCAAATGATTATCGACCAAGTATCAACAGACTATTGACTCGGACTGACTGTCCACTGACTATCGACCAACAGTCAGTCAATGTGTCAACTAACTATGTCAGGCAACACTACCTATAGTAAACATGATCCGCAAAGTGTTAGCAAAGCAGCCAGCTGGCTGTATTCATAAGAAAGGGAATAGTATAACTTGCCTCATCTGAATCAACACCAACAATAAATAACAGTGAGGCATATCTTCTGTAAATGACTTTGAAATTCTTGAATTCCATAAAAGGACACTGAAAGCAAGAATAGGATAATTTTATATAAACTGACTTCTAATGAGGATCTGAGATTAAGTGCTTAATCAATGAGAGCAGTTACCCACCAAACTTTCTTGCAGATTTTGATGGTCAAATAACGAATTTCACAAGGATGCCCACTACATGTAATATAAGAGACAACATTCACCAACTCTGGCAGTTTAAATGGCTAATAGACCTTTCCACAGTTTCTCACACCATCTTGTTTGGGGAGCAAATATATGGGAAATTTTGGGTGTAGAAAGATTGACATTTTGAAATTCTAAAGAATCACAATGTAAACTGTAAGATAACCAGTAGAGCAATTCACTGAATGATCAAATCTGAAGAAAACAGGTGTACTGTGAGACAGGAACCACCTTTCAAATTTTCTACTCAAAAATCTCTAAATTTGACCAGACCTGGAAACTTTCTTTCACAGTAAAATCTATGGAAAATTAACAATTTAATTCCGGCTTTCTTAGCTAGTGTGTAGCTTCACTGTATCCCCGGAGGGGGGGGATACTTTGGGAATTTCTGGGTGGGGATGTGCCACTGGGACCCTGGAACCCTTAGCCTATACCAGAGCTAGTTAAGCTGAATTTCGCTACCCTATACTAGAGTAAACTCCCCAAATCCCCCTATCTGTCGACACTGTTGAGGCTGATTTGCGTAAATTTAAACTTGCCGATTTGATTTTTTTATATTTTTGAGTGGCAATTCCTGGTTTCCTTAGTCTAGA